ACCAGGTGAGGAGGGAGAGTAAGGATCACGCCACCATCAGCGACCTCTACCTGAACAACGTCATCAGCCGCCTCACGCACATCAGCGAGGACTCTGCTCGCCTGCTGAAGAGGGTGAGCAGATTTATCTTCCTGTGTGCCGCTCCATTGTTCTCCACAAACACATCAATAAGCCACACTGTTACTGTTGTATTCACCGTCCTCCTGACCCAAATACTCACCGGAGCACCAAATGTGGATTCATGCGCCGCTGAAAATAGTCCCCAAACAATTGCATTATTTATACTACACTGAACCTTGTTTAAAAAATCATATTTAATTATATTTTTGAGGTGTTTGTAAAGATTAACATGTTCAGTAGGAACCAATGAGCTTTGGAGTCACAGACAGGAAGTCAGTATTAAAGTAAGTATTAAAAGACGGATTAAAACATCAAAAAGAATGCATCTCAACCACCTAAAGTTCAAAGTTCTGACTCCAAACCAACAGATTAAAAAAATATATTATTAGTTTAACTGACGACCAACAAAACTAAAGTTTATTTAAAAGTTTACCACTTTGTTTTCAATTTCTGTGATTAAAACTCTGTGTTAAACATTTAATGTAACATTATCTAAAATACTTTTAATTTATTTGATCACTTTCCTTTTTAATTATGCTGATGAAACAGAATTATTATTATTTATTTTTCTTACATAAATCAAGTGGCAAAAGTTCCTGCAGTCCCTCAAACGTCCACTAGAGGCTGGCTCCAGCAGTGAGTCAATCTCCATAAGGCCTCATATTAAAAAGCTTAACTTTACAGCAGAAATAAACATGTTTACTGCCTCTTTAAAGCTAATTTCTCTGTTCATGACGACTGTACGGGGGTGATTTCTATACAACTCACCTGTTTTAAATTATATTAAAGCTTACCAACGTAAAACCAATGATTGACGTAAAAAATAAACCCACTTTTATGATGATTGGGCAGGTTTTTACGCTCTTTTTGACACCCTCTCCAGCACTTAGCTTCAGCATGTAAAAAGCCTCTGACGCGGCACATCGTGGGACCTCTGTAATAATTAAGGTGATGTTATATTGCCTATAAAACCAAAGTTTTTACTGTAAATCTATACACGTTCCAGTTAAAGCCCCCCGTGTCTGGCTGTAAATCTGTCGCAGTCACCAGTAATAGATGGCGAAGTGAAGCTTGGACACTGGCTGCACACACGGGAGAAAAGCTAAATGTAATAAATCCTGCCATTTTCTTTTACATGTGTAATTAAAAAAAGTCTTAAATCAATAATGTAATTGCAAAGCGTTGGGACATTAACATGCTGCAGGGATCCGATTAAACTCACCAAAACTGTCTTTGTTAGTCTTTCCAACGCTGGTTTGGGAGTAATAAATCCTTAATTCTCCGAGTTAGATGAGGAAATGTTCACGAAAATGGCGACAATGTCTGCAGCTAAACTAATGTTAATCCTTGAGGACTAATGTGTCCAATAAAGTGCTTGTTTTTCCCCACTTACAGGCTCAGATTGTTATTCTAACTGTCTAATAACATTATAGAAAGGATTCCTACAGAGATTAACCTTTCACTCGCCACCAGACTCCATAGACAAAAATAGTAATTTTACCTCATATGTCATCGTAACTTCATTCAAACTCAACAGAAACAAAATAAAACTCACCAAAACCTTCTTGACTTGTATTAAAAAAGTCTAAAAGCTAAATAACAACTATCAGAGAGAAAGAAAACACTGAATTTGTCAAAAAAAAGAAGCATATTAAATCTGTATGATTGTTAAAAAATAAATAAAAACATAACACAGACAGATAATTGTATAAAACATTCCTAAAAACATCATCAAATTTTATTCACATTAATTGGATGAAATGCTGAGATATCGCCCTTACTTAAAGCTTTGGCTGCTTTAGTCAATAATAGAAAAAGGGGTCCTTTAAGGGAAACGTCTGCTTTAAGTAAACATACGGAAGTATTATTAGAAAAAAGTACAATCAAAAGTACTCTGATCGTTATAATTAATGTATTAATATAAGCTTTAATGTCGTCATACTACATTATACATAATACAGACCTCGTTATAACTGCTTCTTTAAGAGTTGATTCTAATGAAAAGTAAAGTCAGTATTCCCCGGAGGTCTGTTAGGCTTCCTCAGAGTTTAGCAAAAGAAAATTAAACACACACACACACACACACACGTCCTCACTGCCTCCAACTTTAGCTCGCCGTCTCCATTATTAATCTTTTCCGGCTCGTCTTTTATTCATGCTAACTAAAGTGCGGCGGCTGCCAGAAGCTATAAACGGTGAGACCTCCATCACATCCCATCACGCCGTCCTCTCTCTCTCCCCCTGCCTCCCCCGTTCTGAGGAGGGACGCTGGGAAGAAGAAGGAAGAGAGAGAGAGGCTCGGTGGCCATGACAACACTGACAGCCCCCGTGGCCATGGCGACAGGCTCTCAGCTGATCTTTTCTCAGCAGGGGCACTATGGGAACGGGATTCATCCATCCTGGGATTTCACAGTCATTTAGCGTAATGTAATATTAATGCGGCGCCGCGCTGCCACATAATTTAAAAAATGAAAAAAAATAATAAAAATGGAGGCGCTGTTTAATGCATGAGACAGAAACTCAGTTTGAGAGCGGGTTTTATTTTATGAATTCATTTGTTTGTGGTCATTTATTTATCTGATGGACGGACGGAGAGACCAAAAACTGAGCTTTAAGTATTTTATTTTGAGTAAATGTACTATTAAAGGTCCATTTCCACCACTTTCAGAATGCTTTTTGATGATTATTTCTCCTCTTCTCTCTTTTCTTTTAGAGTAAGGAGATAATCTTTCAGCTTCAGGAAGACCTCATGAAGCTCCTGAATGAGCTTTACACCGTAAGTTGAACCAACTGCGTTCATTAGTGGAGACGATTGTTTGTTGGTGCTCTTTGTTTAGCTGAATTTGAAAGGTAGAGGATCCATTTGGGAACTTGGAAGTCAAACTATCCGAGTTCCCAGTTAGAGATTTACACTGGAACACCCCCCTGAACTAGGAAAGTTGGAAGAACCTCAAAATACTCCGGGCTTAAGCGAATAAACAGAAAGCACCATTAGCCCCGCCCCTTTTTGCGTCCAATAACAGTTGAGCTAACCTCGGTCAACTTTCTCCTTTCCTGTACTTAAATATACTCGTCTGTGTGTCTGAAAACGACACTAGTATCTACTGTATATGTGTATAGTTATGTTAACTAGCTAACTAATGTACAACAAACGTGGGTTAGATACTGCCAAACCCAGCACAAAAAAAAGCCCCACTTTGGTCCTTTATTCCATAAACTAACTTAAGATATGTCTATATATATATATATATATATATATAAACCTTTAGATAAATCACACTTTCTTTATACCTTAATGCACTCGAATACTGACCTGCAGAGAGAAATCAACAAAAACCTTCCTTATATTTGCTCTTTAAAAGGTCTTAAAACCTATAAAATGCTCTGATATCTGTAAAAGCATCAACTCAAAAGCTAAAATGTCAATAAAGCATCAACAAACAAACCCGGAGTCAAAGTAAAAGTTATATTTTAAAAAGCCCTCGCTGCCATACGTCAATGTTTTTATTGTCCGACATTATTTTCAGGTCTGTAAATTAGCCGATATTTCTCTGTCAAGGTTTATTTGAAGTCCAAACACTGGAAATCAGATTAGAGCGTGCCTTGATAACCTTGAGTGTGGTGCTTATTACGGGGTGCTGTTACCTAGGTAATGAAGACATATCACATGTACCACGTGGAGACGATCAGCGCGGAGACAAAGCTGCGGGAGGCGGAGCGCCAGGAGGGACGTGTGAAGGGCGTCTCGGGGACGGGCGGAGGGGTGGAGCCCGTGTTCGGCCTGCGGATAGAAGAGCGCCACCAGAGGCGCAACGCCGCCCGCAAGATGGAGAAGATGAGGGAGAAGGTACAGGGTGCATCACAATTATTTTTTAACTTAAGGAAAACTTTTAGAGAAGTTAAATGTCCTTTATTCTCAGGTGTCGCCTGTCACACACTAAAAATCAGTACAAATTAACAAAGAGACAGTATGAGGTGAATTTGAGGCAGAAATCTAACTCCTTCTCGGTGCATAACTCCATCAAATCTTAACACACGTATTGATATCATTCATAGTGACTTAGACTTCCAGAGGATATTATTATCTGTGATTCCCACCAAAATTAAAGTCCATAAATCCACTTAGAAATCATTAAAAAAAGACGTTTCAGAACTTGCCTTAGGATATTCACATTTTAACGTTTTCTTCAATATCAAAGTAATCCAGTTACAGTTGTTTGTACATCTATGGATACACTGCAAACAGGAGCTGCTAATAGCTAATTCGGCTTACTTTTAATGCCGGCAATTTGCCAAAAATGTAAGAATATGGCTTAAAAAGAGAGAATGCCAGTCCCCACTTGTAAAACTGACATTACAACAGCCAATTTGAGGAGCTTTTATGAGGTCTTGCTCTTATAACTCCTGTCAGAATGGAGCTTTAGTCTTATTTTTCATATTACTATTGGGTTATTTACCCAAAAGCTTTTTTTAAACTTACTTATTACACTGATTTTTTGTCATATTTGTATCCTTTATAGTTTTTAATGTCATATGAGCATCATTTTCTACAACTAACATCTGATTTATGAAAGTTTTAAGGTCAAAAGCCAACGGTGACCTAATATATGACCTATATAGGTGCTATAATTACCCAATTGGATTCATTTTAGCTATATTATTTAAAAAAGGTGGAACATAAAAACTCTACCTGACGCATAGGGAAACAACACCACAGATGGATAATTAAAATGTGTTAATTGCTCAAAGATGACTTCTCCCTTTTATAATATTATTCATGATACAAGTTAAACATCTAATTTTCTTTTATTGACACTGTAAACCCAGCGTTTATATGGATATTTTCATCTTAACACGTCTGTTTCTTTCTCCTTTAGAGGAAGGCAAAGTACTCAGAGAACAAACTAAAGACTCTTAAAGCGAGGAACGAGTATCTGTTGACTCTGGAGGCCACAAACGCCTCCGTGTTTAAATACTACATCCACGACCTGCCCGACATCATAGACGTGAGTATACGTTTGTTTAAAGAGTGTCTGGAGGAAGTTGTGGTTCTGTATTTGAGTTTAACAATGATAGCCAGGGTCTCTTACCTGTAGTCCCAGTTTAATTTTTACAAATATTGCAACTTTTATCATTAAATCATCAGTGCAAAAGATTAACAACTGTGTTAGAAAAGCTTCTGGTGCATAAAAATGTGGAGGAAGAAGTTAACTACAACTCCCATGGTGCATTTTGGCCGGAAACATCCAATCTTTGATTTTAAAGATTACGGTATCGGATGAATTCAGCAACTGTGGTGCCATGTTTGATCAGAAATTTGACGAGAAAGCATTTTATGTTCGCTAATACGCTTCTTTTAGGCAACAGCAGGAGTGCCTCATGGGAAAACAAAAAGTATTTTGCCGCCAAACTAATAGACAAATCATGCTTGGTGGCCATAATATAAACCTATATGATTGTTACATTATCCTCCATCTTTGTCTCAGTGCTGTGACCTAGGGTACCACTCCAGTCTGAGCCGGGCTCTGAGGACCTACCTATCAGCCGAACTGAGCCTTGAAGCCTCCAGGAGGGCGGGTCTGGAGGTGCTGGAGGGCGCCGTGGAGGGCCTGGACCCTGCCCGCGACAGGCAGCGTCTGCTGGGCCTCTACCCCACTGCCTTCTGCCCCCCGCAGCGCTTTGGCTTCCAGGCCCACATGGGCGACGCAGTAAGTACATCGCACCAAACAGATGTGTTTGCAAACACATCTGGGAGGTCAAGTTTTAAATTAGAGAGATGTCTTACAGCTCGGGTTTTGGTGATGGTGTGACTTCTTCTTGTTCCACACTTCCTGTCAGGTGACCCAGATTGCCTCCCAGCCACAGGTCCAAGCTGAGCTCAACCTGCGCCTCACGCAGCTCCAGACCCGCCTGGCGTCCCTGAAGATAGAGAACGAAGAGGTCAAACAACACAAATACACAACACAAACAAAAATAATATTAAAATCTGCTGCAGTGATTGAAACTGCAAGCGGCGGTTAACGAGCCTGAGCACTCGGGGTGTGCAGCGGATGCGTAATCCGCCATCGATACACCACATGTTGCACATAAATTAGATGTTGATAGAGATTGATATGATTGTAGGTGTGTTTAGGCTGCGGCTCTCATTAAATGTATGAAGTTTGGGGCTGATTGGGTGCCTGCTTAGCTCAGTCGGTAAAGCTGGCGACCCATATATGGATTTGCTGCAGCAGCCTGGGTTCGAGTCCAACCTGCGGCTCTTTGCTGTGTGTCATCCCCTCTCTCTACCCCTCTTTCCTGTCATTCTTCAGCTGTCTGTATCAAATAAAGGCATGAAAAGGCCAAAAAATATAAAAAATAAAAATAAAAAATAAAAAAAAGTTTGGGGCTGATTGGAGAACATATACTGAGGCTATGGTTAACGTTAGGGGCTCCTTTTTCATGGCTAAACTGCGATTTTCAACGTCACCCCACGGACACACCTTTATAACTTTTAATTTAAGTTTTCAATTAAAAGTTATCAAAATCATGAGTGTACTGACGGTGTTAGAAGTTAATCTGATCAATCCTCTAGGAGGAGTTTGATAAAATAGAAAGCCTGGAAAATGGCAGAAATGGCGGCAAAATTTGACATTGAATTCAAAATAGCCGACTTCCTGTTGGTTGTAGGATGTGGCTCCAAGAGGCTTTTTTGTACATCCTGACATGATACACGTGGCCCCTGATTTTTGTGTCCCTACATTGAATGTGCTGCCGGGGCTTCTTACTTGAGATGTTGTAGTTACAAAAAGGCCAGTTTAATTGAAAAAAAACTCGATTTTTGACGCCACGCCTCTCTTTTAATTGTGTAGGTCTTTAAAGTGCACTCACCAAATTTGAGTTTAAAGTCGTTCTGATCAATCACCTAGGAGGAATTTGTTGAACTAGAAGCACCGGAAATGGCAAAATAGCTTAAATTGATGACATTCAAAAAGGTCGACTCACACAAAATAATATTCATTATCTGTGACTCTTCCACTGCACAGCGAAGAAACAACAAGACATTTAACATAAGAAAACCATTAAACACAACATGAAAACCACAAAATATAAAATGCCTGCGTCCAAACCTGACTTCTGGTTCCACAACATGGCACCTGTATGAAGAAGAAGGAGCATCCGGCTGACATTATTCACTCAAGGCTCTTTACGAGTAATTTATAGTATTAAACATGTATTTAAACTAATTCCATCAGGCTCTGAAAATGATATAAAAAGAGCACAAAGATTGGCCTTCCCAGCTGCCATAGTTGCTTGTGTTTCCTACTATTGTGTAAACTGAGTGAGTTTATGTAAAAGAAGCGATATAGAGGAATTTTGTGCAGATTATTTCCTGATAATATTGCACCAAAGATGAGTTTTCCCTTTCCTCGGTCTGCATTATGTTTTTTTTTTAACAATCAAACCATTTAATAGGCTTCTTTTTTTGACAAATTCAGTGTTTTCTCCTCATTTTTCTATCAACTCTTTGGTCCTTTTTTTAACTTTTCTAACGCAGGACGAAGCTGTTTATCAGTGAGTGAAAGCTCTGTGGATACAGCGTGTGTTCAAGTTCAGATCTTTAGATAATAATCTCAATTTCAAACTAATTTCATTGAGATTTCTTCACAGAAACAAACAAAATGCTACGATATAGGCCTGTAGCTTCCCTACAGCCCCTAAAATCAAGAAGGCCTAACCTCTGCCCTAACCAATCAGAAACAAGGGACATATTCCCTCTCTCAGTGATTTCCAGTCGACACAGAAGCTGTTGTAACATCTGCAAACCTCTGTCAATGTCATCTACTCTTTTTTGAGTCCACTCCATTTTTGTGGCACAATCGGGGGACAGTCCCTGGAAGTGACCAAAAAAATAGTGATTACAAATTAAAATGTTTTTTTTCTGACAGTTACAATCCCAACACAAAGTTATGGTAATTTATACCGCTCTAATGGGGTGATAATGTAGCAGATGTAGCCCCCTTCCTAAAAATAAACTTGTGCCATCTGAAAGTGACTCGGTGCTGCAGTCTGCAGCGTCCCCGCTGTTGTTGTGGAGCAGACTGAGAGCGTCGTGAGCACAGAGGGCAGCTGTTAACTCACCCTGAAGGGCATAAAAATGCTGAAGGAGTCTGGATTAATGAGCTGCATCTGCACGTCTCAGCAGCTTCCGAATAACACACACGTACACACACACACACACCCTGATTATCATGTACAAATAAAAAAACACTTTTACACTCATTATCCTTTGCTGTAAATACAAACACACTTTGCATACGTCGTACACATAAAGCACACACACACACGACTCCACACCATAAGACAATTATAAGATCGTAATTCATGACTCGTGATCCATGAAGCCTTATAATCAGTCAGGTGCTCGTACAAAGTCATGCTTCCACATAGTTCGTACAGCACAAATCCTGAGTTCAGATGTTTTTAAGGTAAGAAAAATGGATTCAAATGCGGCTCGATTCCTGTGTCTCAGAGTAGGAACACGCCTCCAACTGGCTGAAGTGATGTTTGCCGTATTTGGTGGATGCAAATGCTCTTTATATCTTTTTTCTTTTACATTTATTGATGTTTGCGAAGCAAATGCAGATACAAAAGCTCATAAAACCCATTTTTGGCCTTAACTTAAAGGACCAGTGTGTAAGATGAGCTCACAACTCGCTTCACCCTCTCCTTCCAAGCCTCTATCTAGAGCCAGTGTTTGGTTTTGCCCCTCCTCCTCCAGGTGAAGAAGACCTGGGGTGCGACTCTGACGACCCTGCAGGACATGACGGTGCTGGACGACTATGACGTCTCCCAGAGCTTCACCCACAGCCCGTCCTCCGAGTCGGTCAAGTCCAGCGTGTCGGACGGCTACTTGAACAAGCCGAGTCTGGCCAAGAGACGGGCCAACCAGCAGGAGACGGAGCTCTTCTACTTCAATGTGAGAGAAACCTCAGACTTAGACAGAAACAATCAATTTAAACATGTAAATTCTGAATGAACAGAAGTAGCGTGGGCTCATGGGAGACGTTGTCTTCACTGTTAAACAATTTGCTATAAAAATCTATCTGATGTGACTCGGACGCGGTGATATTAATGTTTTATTTGTTGTTTTTAGACATTTTAAATCAGAAATGTTGCATATTATATGTTTAAAGAACAGGTTATCCTGCCTCGTCTCCTGTCTGACTGGAGCTAGCAATGGCTAATATTAGGATAATAGATAGATGTGTCCTACCAGGCCACCGTACTACCACAACAACACAAATATTAGACCTAATTTAATACTTTATTTCTTTACAAGAGTGGCTAATTTCACTGTTTTATTGGTTCTTTTGGAAGCTAGTGTTGAATTAATGTGTATTTTATGGCTTTGACTCATATTTACAGTTAATTTCATGCTGTAAATATTTATCTTTAGTCACTAAAATGCTTTAAAAAAGTAAAATCTTTACGACATGGAACTTCTATTTTGTGTTTTTAATCCGCAGAAATTCCGCGAGTATCTGGAGGGAAGTAATCTAATTTCCAAACTGCAGGCCAAACACGACATATTGAAGAAAGCCTTAGCAGAGGGTAAGACCTCCACAAACTGGCTCTCACTTTCTTTCTGTCTTTTATATTTCATAACGCACTTGGTAATTCATAGGTAATCATTTCTCATCTTTTTTTACTTTTACAGGGTATAAATCTGAACTACTGACTACCAGGTATTATTTCCTGTCGCAGTGCATATTTTCCCTTCACGTTAATAATGAGTGTTATTTCCCATCCCACCACTTTGAGTTTTTTCTCTTACTCTCTTTCTCTCTTTTCTGCTCATTACAGTCGTGGGCGGAAGAACTCCCATAGCAAGCATCAGGTAGAGTTTCACTTCTATGAGGCTTCAGGTTGTTCCTCTGTGTGTTTGTGGTAATATCTGACAGTAAAGGGGCGTAACAAAACCTACTGGTGATACAGGGGGGTCCTAAAATCCTATTATACCCCCCTCACACCTCCCATCAACCCTCAGCAATAAGCTTAACAAGCAACAGCGAGTGATTTACAGACTTAATTAGCCCTGGGTTTCGCCTGTCAGGCTACATATGCTTGATGCTCTGATACGCAGTTGTAATTCTTGAAACACTCTGTCCTGCTGCCCCAAATACTCACCAAAGAGCACCAAATGTGGATTAATCCGCCACTGGAAATAGTCCCCAACAAATGCTCCATTTCCTCCTGTTTGAGTAATATTTGCTTAAAAACTACAGTATCCTGCTGGTTTAGGAGATTACAGAGCCGTTTTTGGAAATTAAACTATATATTTGTGAGCTGTTTATAAGATTTACATCTTCAGCAGGGCTTGGGAAGTTAGAAAATATTGAGAGACGGACTAAGACATTGATGGTTTTTGTCTTTATTAACCTTTATTACCAAAAAGAATCACAAAGTCCCTTGTTATTTATGACAAATGATTGTCTGTGGCAGTGTGACTCAAATAATGTGACAAGAATCAGAACCAGGAGTCGATTATGTGACCGACCCTGATCGTGTGCTCGATGACTGTGTTTATAGGATTCAACCAAAGCCATACCCTTGCTTGTGGAGAGCTGCATCCGCTTCATCAACCTACATGGTGAGTTTCAACACATTGGCAGTATATAATTAGTGGACAGAGCTTTCAGGTCTGTGAAGTGTCTTAAACCTGCATTCTATTAAATCTCCAGCATGGGGCGGCTCCATTACCATACAGTTTTATGGAGAAATGAGCCGACTTCTCAGTTGATTTATGAGCTCAGTAAACGGTTTCCTGATGAGTTTCTGGTCTCAATCTCTAGTTTCAAGTCTTGTTCCTAGGTCAGCTGTTTCCATACAGCATGGTATGCTCATTAGTAAATTATGGGTCCCATCAGAGCAAAAATGAGACCATAAAGCAGGGTATGCTTTAGGGCGGGGCTACCTTGTGATTGACAGCTCATTCTCAGTGAGTCTGTCCAGCTCAACACTCAAACTCAGATC